TTCTGATTGAGGATATTTTATATTTTGGGCAGATTTACTTTATTTATTTATTTATTTATTTTTTGCGGTACGCTGGCCTCTCGCTGCTGTGGCCTCTCCCGCTGCGGAGCACAGGCTCCGGGCGCGCAGGCTCAGCGGCCATGGCTCACGGGCCCAGCTGCTCCGCGGCATGTGGGATCTTCCCGGACCGGGGCACGGACCCGTGTCCCCTGCATCGGCAGGCGGACTCTCAACCACTGCGCCACCAGGGAAGTCTGATTTACTTTATTTTTGTTACCCTTATAAATACTCAGGTAAAATTTCATCCTCAGTTTCCAAAGTAAAATAAGCCTAAACTCTCAAGAATTGAAAGAAAACGCTTTGTCTTGTTTTTGTAAAGAGCAGGTTTGGAGGAATTACCTCTAAAAAAGAAAAAAAATCCCCCTTGCCTTTTGTAAACAGCAGGTATAAAGGAATGACCTCTAAAAGAAGCTGGAATGTCACTGCGATAGTTTATCTTGCTTTCAAATTCTTTACACATAATTAAGCAACAAACACTTAAGTTGACTGGACTATGTGCACATATCACCATTCTCACTGGAAATGTACCAGAGTAGGAAAGCTTTTAGGTAACAAGTTTAGGTAACATTAGCAAGAGATCTTAGCTTTTTTCTTTTTTAATGTAAGTGAAAAATACTACTGTAATCCCTTTCTACTACTATGTAGAAAGGGAAAAATTTGAGCAGAGCTCAGGGAACTTCCCCGGTCTTAGAACATAGATTTATTATTTATTTTGAATTAATATCCATAATATTCGATTTAAAATATGGATTTGAAGATTTTCCAAATGAATAGTTTGGCTCTTGGTTTTACTTCATTTGTATTTTATCCTTGTTAGATGAAAAGTTAAACTGAAGTGTCCTTAGGCTAAATTAGGGATATAAACAAGAATGTTTACATTTTAAAAATCTACCTCTCATAGATAATTCTAGTATGATTAAGTGGCTTCTGAACAGATTTTCCTATAATCTTAATGTTTGAAGTATGAAAGTACTCTCATAACAAAAATATGGGAAAGTAAACAGATCTTGAACATATTTGTATTTTTAATCTTTGTCGCCTGTGTTATCTCGGAGTCTGTGCAATCATCACACTTTGACTTCTGGGGAAGGTATTTGAATAAAAAGCGGCATATAGAGGATAAAGTTGCAGGGAAGGGTAAGAAAGAATGAGAAACTGAAATTTTCGATTCTCTCACTCTTACCAGCCAAGAAAGAAGGCTGGGAGTCATTCTTGATGGGCCCCTCCTCACCCCCACTCCCAATCCGTCATCAAGTTATGTCAGTTTCATCTCAAACTATATTTTGAGTCCATCCACTTCTCAATCCCAACTGCTACACCATCACCATATCCTCTTGCCTGGACTCCTGCCAAGGCCTGCCTTTCTTCCCCTCCCCCACCCATTTCTCTGCTGGAAATGGTGATCTGTCTGGGCTTACCATTGTGCCCATAGCATCAAGCAGAGTGCCTTGCTAAGTGCGTGGATATCATGTTATTAACGCAAACACGATCGTTATCTCTGCTCTGCTTACAATCCTGCAGTTTCGCACTGCACTCAGAATAAAATCCCCAACCCATCTTCCTCTTGGGTCCCTTCCCCATTCTCACTTCCAACCACACTGTCTTCCTAGCTGTTCCCCAAACATACCCAGCAACTTCCTGCCTTAGGCTTTAAGGCAGGCAGTGTCTCAGGCTTGAAAGGTTTCTTCCCCCTACTCTCTGTCTCACTAACGTCTGCACATCTGTCAGAATTCAGTTCAAGTGTTGCTTCCTCACCCTCTAATCCTCCCTGACCCTCTGATCTCAATCAAGCCACACTTTCATATCCGTCCACAGCACGCTACACTTTGGTCTCAGCTGATAATTATTTTTACATTAGGAGCTGTGTCTGCCTGGTTACACTGCAGCCATGGCTCCTGACCCAGGACCATGGCTGTGGTATTTGAACACGCGGACCTACAGGTGTAAAGTCATATATAGGGTGGCTTAGAACCGTCACCTGCGGTGCTAGGGATCTAGTTTCCGACTCCAGGCTCAGGAGATGAAAGGTTAGGAGGTGAAGTAAGGATGGCATTGCAGGAAGACAGAACATGATGTGGATTAGAGGAAAGGGATCCTGTTTTAATGGCTCAGGTTTTTGACCTAGGCCACTGCTGGAGTGATTATTTGCAAAAACATTAGAATGTGATTCTTTTTTTTTTTTAAGAAGATGGGGGTAGGAGTTTAATTTATTTATTTTGCTGTGTTGGGTCTTCGTTTCTGTGCGAGGGCTTCCTCTAGTTGTGGCAAGCGGGGGCCACTCTTTCATCGCGGTACGCGGGCCTCTCACTATCGCGGCCTCTCCTGTTGTGGAGCACAGGCTCCAGATGCGCAGGCTCAGTAGTTGTGGCTCATGGGCCTAGTTGCTCTGCGCCATGTGGGATCCTCCCAGACCAAGGCTCGAACCCGTGTCCCCTGCATTAGCAGGCAGACTCCCAACTACTGCGCCACCAAGGAAGTCCTAGAATGTGATTCTTTTAAAACTAACTTTTTGTGGAATTCCCTGTCAGTCCAGTGGTTAGGACTCGGCACTTCCACTGCCAAGGCCCCGGGTTCGATCCGTGGTCAGGGAACTAAGATCCCACAAGCTGTGTCGCATGACCAAAAAACCACAAACTGACTTTGCACGTATCAACCACTTATTTGACCCAATATGAATTAGCCAGTGTGTTTGTGCCAGTATTTTTAGTTTCATATACACATATAATGTGGATCATGACTCAAGATTCTAATTAAGAAGAGAAACACTTGTAGATAAATAATAATTTATTCTTTTAGTTTTATTAGAGGTCTTTTTTTTTTTTTTTGAAGAAAATCTAAATAGAACTTGTTTTGGGCCTTCTGGACTATACATTTCTTAGAGTAACCAACATTGAATAATAGGATTTTAGAATCAAAATGGGTTGATGAGGTTGAGTAATTAAACTGCCTCCATTTAGATTTAAGACTGAAGCATGGTGGTTGGTGACTTTTCAAGGTTACGTAAGTTTGTATGAAGCAAAGCTGGCATCTGGCCAGATCTTCTAGATTACAAACCAACATATTCCCCATTGATCTTTGCTCCACTGTGTATCTTTAATTAACATAAAGTGAAACTCCCAAGTCAGCCGTTTTTTAAGCATTGATGAAGTCATTATTGTTCTGTGATCTCTTTTAAAGACAAATTTTACCATCTGCCATTCAGAGAGCCACACAACCCTGCCTGGCTGAGACCACAAGTCACTGAGTCAAGGGCCCCTGCTGGGCCTCAGCTAATCCACTAAATCAGCGCAGCTGCTTATTTACCATCAGCTAATGAAAGGGAAATGGAGTGATTCTAAAAGCCTGGTAACCCATTCAGACTGGGCTTTAGAACCCTTCTTACACTATGTATTTAAATACAGGTATGTCCTCCATTTAGATATTTGGCAAATTGTTTTCAAGCCAAATAACTAGTCATACTCAACTAGTCATACTCAAGAGCTAGAATGGGTCCAACTGGGAGGCTGTCCTAGTTTCCTGAGCCTGACCTGGCTGAATTCAGGCCTCTCCTGGCAGAGAGCAGGCATTTCCCCTTCCCTGCCTGCTTCTCAGCTCAAGCTGGGAGCAGTATAAGTATACAGGTCTTGCTTGTTCTCAGAGGGTTTCCAGACAAAATGCAAAGTGAGAATAAAGAGAAGGGAAGAGCCATAGGGTAACCATCTTTTTTCTGTCCCTGGATCTCAAGGGGAGGACCCTCCCATTCATTCCTCTGTTTTGTTAGTGTTTATTATGTCACTTCTTCTAAACAAGAAACAGCTTCTACGATGCCAGCCTTTCATTTGTCACATTGGATCAACACTGGTGTAGTGGAGTCCAGATAGACCTGGGTTCCATACCAGCTCTGCCACTTGCTGTGTAACTTTGTTGCGGGTCACAGAACCTCTGTGACCCTCGGTTTCCTTTTCAGTAAAGTGGGACTCATGTGATCACTGAGATTAAGGTAATATTCATGGTAGATGCTTAACAAATGAGATTGATGTTTTATTAATATTAACTAGTTGAATGACCTTGGAAGAGTACCTTCACATTCAGCTGTTTCCTTATGGGGAATATGAGGAAGTTGATCCCAAAGGTCTCTCAAGCCCTTTTCAGCACTGACAGCTCTGTGGGTCCTTTCTCCAAGGCATTCTTGAATATTGGGGAACTAGCCTCTCACCCAAACACCCCTCTCATTTCCGCCGGTCTAGTACCCTCACGCCCAAGACCCTCTTGCCCGCTCACTCATGCCGCTGTGGAAGCTGCAGATTGCCGAGTTTCCAGGGCTCTAAATCCGTGCCGGTTGCCCGCAGCCCAGGTCTAGAGGCAGACTGGTTGCAGGGGAGGCGGACCCCGAGCTTGGATCCATCGTGGGGCGCCCGGGCCGTGGATCTCCTGGTAGGAGAGGTGAGGAGGACGCAGATGCTACCTACGGATCCAACAGCTTCTGCAAACTTCTTGCCCAATCCGAGCGCCCTCTCCGCCCAGTTCTCGGGGGGCGGCTGCGCAGTACGTACTGCGCAAGGGCGGGTGGCCTCGCCCTCCCGGGAAGCGCTAGCTTTCAGGCGCAGGCTCTGAGAAGGAGCCAGAGGCCGCGGGTGCGCAGTAGGGCTCCGGATGCCTCCGACCCGCTTCTCATTGGCCCCCACCAGGCGGGGCCCGGGTCTTCGGCCCTCAGGCGGAAAGCGGCGCCGGCTGCGCCACGCCCTCGGGCACCACCCTGCAGCCATGGGCGGGCCCTTGGCTGCCCCCAGCCGGGAAACGCCGGGTAATGAGATGCTAATGAGGCGCGAATAAAGCCTCTGCGGGCCGCGTGCCCTGGTGCGGGAGCCTACACACTGCGTGCTGCCCTGTAATCCCGGCATTTGGTCCGCGCCTCCTCCAACTCCCTTCCTCCGTCCCCGTCCCCCAACCCGCCGGACTGGGACGCCCGCCTGGCAGGAAGCGGCCCCTACGGGCTTCCGAGCCCCCGGGTAAGTTGTCCAGCTGCGCCAAATGTGCGGCCCCCGCCCGCGGAGGCCCGGGGTAGGAGTAGGGATGCGCCTCCGGGGAAATGTGGCTCGCGGCGCTCCTGAATTCCGCCTGGCCGGTCCGGCCCGTCTCTCTGCACCTCCGTCCTGCTCAGCCCCTCTCCAAACTGTACGGTCTGGAGTGTGAGTACCCCCGACCCCCGCTGCCAGTGGTCCAGCTCCCTCTCCATCCTTCCAGACCGGTCCACCCCTCGCACATTATTTGTCCTGGTGTTTCCAGGTTGGGTCCCCCCTCTCCCCACTTCGCCGAGGTCTTCCTCCTCCCACCCCCTAAGAGAGACCTTCGGCCTTCTTGACGTTCCGTCCGCCCCCATCCAGGTGACCTGCGGCGACGATTTTCATCTCCTGCTTCGGCCCGGCCGCTGGGTTCGGGCAGGGACCGGTGAGGCGACCGAGCAGCGTGAGGGGGATCAGCCCAAGGATCTCCCCCCATGAGTGCCACCCTCCTACTCGAACTCCCCCGTGGGCAGTTCTCCAGGAATCCCCGTGCCCTCTGATTCCTCCGGGTCCCAGCGTGAGAAAGGTCTCTCCAACACCCCTCAAGTTGCGTGGGGGCCCGAGCGAGGGAGAAGGGGACAAAGGGAGGCCTTGTTTCGGGAGATTCCTGGGAGAGCATGCAGGGATGGGGTGGGGCGTCAATGGGAGTGAGAGGAAGCTGGGAGGGGCGAACCCTGCTGCCCTGTCGCCCCCGCAGTCCCCCAGCCGTACTGTGGCCCACTGGAGCAGTGGCAAGTCACAAGGGAAGTATTTTGACCACAGTGAGTCAGAAATAGACCCAGTTGTGTGTTACTCAGTCAGATGCAACATCCTGGGGCTGTTCCGTGCAGTATTTTGGTGGTGGGAAGTGGAACCTACAGGGTTAGAGACCATCTCCTCCCCGTGGTGAGGCAATGAGCAGCGCTAAGGAGGAGAACTTTGCCCCTGGCATAAGATGCACGCCACACCCAGCGTCACACTGAGTCCCTCGTGGGTGCTGGGCACAGGGAGGCTTGGGGTGAGATAGGGCAGTACATGTGCCTAGCAGCTGGGGTTGCCGGTGTTAGATCTGTCCCTGTCTGTACTGCACGGAAAGCTCTCTTCCTGGGCACCCTGCCCTCTTCACATCCGAGAAATTACCCGTGCTCTGCTTCCAGGGCCCCGAGAAGGCAGGGTAAGAATTCCTGTCCCCTGGGCCCCAGAGATGGAGCAGGGCTTGGAGATCCCTGAGCAAGAAGGCTGAGCTGGAGGCTCCCTGGCTTTCCGCGTGCCCTCTGTGCCCAGGACTGCTGATTTTTCATTTCCAAATTTGGCAAATTTCACTTGGAGTGGAAGGGATAGCAGTTGTCACTGGAGCAGCTGGCAGAGAGCAGCAGAGCCAATCAGGGTTGGACCTGGAGCTCCCTGGGGATACCAGACTTTCTTCTCCTCCCCTTCCTTTTCCCTTCCTCCTTTCTCCAGCCTCTTCCCTTCTCTTCCTTCCTTCTCTCCAGCAGCCACGTGCCCCTGCCCCTCCCTGGGAGCCTCCGAGGTCTCCATGGCCTCACCCACCTCCATCAACCCAGCACATGCCCACTTTGAGAGCGTCCTGCAGGCCCAGCTGTGCCAGGATGTGCTGAGCAGCTTCCAGGGGCTATGCAGGGCCCTGGGGCTGGAGCCCGGTGGGGGGCTGCCCCAGTACCACAAGATCAAGGCCCAGCTCAACTACTGGAGTGCCAAGTCGCTGTGGGCCAAGCTGGACAAGAGAGCAAGCCAGCCTGTCTACCAGCAGGGCCGGGCCTGCACCGGCACTAAGGTGGGTACCCGGTGCCTGGGATGGGGCCTGGAGAGTGGGGGAAGTCAGAGGAGGGGCCAGATGCCATGCCGATGCTGCCTTGTGTGTTCGCAGTGCCTGGTGGTGGGTGCTGGACCTTGTGGGCTGCGGGCTGCTGTGGAGCTGGCGATGCTTGGGGCCCGAGTGGTGCTGGTGGAAAAGCGCACCAAGTTCTCTCGTCACAACGTGCTCCACCTCTGGCCCTTCACTATCCATGACCTTCGGGCACTCGGCGCCAAGAAGTTCTATGGGCGCTTCTGCACAGGCTCCCTGGACCACATCAGTGAGCACCATGTGGTGGCCTGGAGGGGCGGGTGAGCCTGGACCTAGAGACAGGCCAGTGGAGGGGGTCAGGGGGCTGCTGCTGGGCCGGCCAAGAGGCAGGGTGGATAAGATTCACTTCAGCCAGGCGGCTTTCAGGACTCAGGGCCCTCACCTGTAAAATGGGCAGTTGGACTGAGTGATTTCTAAGACCTTCTCCGGCTCTGACCAGGAACACACTGGTGCTTGGGAAGGCTGTGGGAACCTGGGGTCCCTGTTCCTAATGTCCTCTCCCTTCCAGGCATCCGGCAACTTCAGCTGCTTTTGTTGAAAGTTGCATTACTGCTGGGGGTGGAAATTCACTGGGGTGTCACTTTCACTGGCCTTCAGCCCCCTCCCAGAAAGGGTAAGGACTTCTCTGCTCCCGAGGACCCCCAAGTATTTTTTTCCTTACCTACTTTCCGTGGCTGTTGTGAAGGTGTAATTTGATAGTGTGTCATTGCTTTCTAAACCATAAAGCCCTTTAAACGTTTATTTAATTATTTCACTGGATTGTCCTGGGAATACAGGGGCCCCTTCAGATTTCCACACCTTTGTGCCACTCACACCCTCTGCCCCAGGGAGTGGTTGGCGTGCCCAGCTCCAGCCCAGCCCCCCAGCCCAACTGGCCAACTATGAATTTGATGTCCTCATCTCTGCAGCTGGAGGTAAATTCGTCCCTGAAGGTGAGTGATCCCTTCCCTCGAAGAAGCCAGCATCTTGAGCTCCTTGTGGGCCTTTCTAGGCTGTTACACCAGTCGTCCTCCTGCCACCACCCCCCTGTCCCCACCTCTAGGCTTCACAGTGCGGGAAATGCGTGGCAAACTGGCCATTGGCATCACGGCCAACTTTGTGAACGGGCGCACGGTGGAAGAGACACAGGTGCCCGAGATCAGCGGCGTGGCCAGGATCTACAACCAGAGCTTCTTCCAGAGCCTGCTTAAAGCCACAGGTCAGGACCACCCTCACAGGGTTTGCCCCCCTCGTGCCTCACTGTGGCCTGCCTCCCACCTCTCCCTCTCAGACCTGTCCACAGTCCAAGGAATCCTGTACTTTTCCATCTTTGTGGTCATGGCAGCAAAGAACTTGAGCCCCCAGGGATTCAGCAGCCACAGCCCCACTCAGCCACCCAGCATGACGAGTCTTAGAAATCTCTCGCAAAATGCATGGGATTTTGCTTTGTGCTTCTTTACATATGCTTTAATATAAAAATGCTATATAACCTGCTGTATAAAAAATAAATAAAATAAAATTCAGGAATTCAAAAAAACAAAGCAAAACAAAATGCTATATATTCAAAATGAAAGTGGTACTTCCAGAAGATGCCCTATGGTTACTTTGGCTTCGCACTGCCACGCCCCCTGGAGTGTGCACATCCCGGTCGGAGAAGCCGGGCTGTCCTCTGCAAGCCTGTGGACTATGTGGTGCACATCGCCCAGCTGCCACCCCACCCAAGTTTCTCATTTTGCTCCACACCTTTAGGCCTCCTGGGCCTGGGACAGATGGTCCGCTGTGCCACCAGAACTCATGGGCCCCCCCTGTGTGTGTGTGGGTAGAGGTGCTGCTGCAGGCTGAGCTGTGATCCCAGCTCTCAGAGGTCAAGCATGGCTGGGGTATTTGGAGAGGTGACACATGATGACGAGGCACATTCCTCGTACCCTGCCCTATCCCCACAGGCATTGATCTGGAGAACATCGTGTACTACAAGGATGACACCCACTACTTTGTGATGACAGCCAAGAAGCAGTGCCTGCTACGGCTGGGGGTGCTGCGTCAGGTGGGGCCCGGGCCCAGGCAGGGAGGGGCTGGGTGGTGGGCCCTGGGAGGTAGGGGCCAGGCCTGGACACAGTCTCTCCTTGGGTGTGGAGGGAGTCCCTCCTCTCTGCGATGGCGCTTCCTCCACCTCGATAAGCTCTTCTCCCCTGGGACTTACGTGGCAACCTGAATCATATTCTGGGCTAAACACCTTATACCAGCCACAGGACTACACAACGTAAGCTCCATGAGGGCAGGGGTTTTGTCCGTCTCTTGTTTACTGATGATTCCCAGTGCCTAGAATGGTGCCTGCTATGTAGTAAGCACCCTGAAAGTATTTGCTGAATGAACTAGTTGAACACCTACTATGTGATAGGTACTTTGTTGAGTTTTATGTTCATTTTCTCACCTAATCCACACGAGTACCTTGAGAAGTTAGGTACGTTATCTCTAAATGATGGGGAAACAGGCTCTGAGAAGTTCAGTGACTTGTCCAAAGCAGGTGTATGGTAACAGTAATGATACTGGGCCTTGGAGGCAGGGTGGGACCTGGGACCCCCAGCGAGCGGCAGGCTGAGAGTTGAGGACAGGGCTCGAGTGTGGGAGGCTGGACATTCAAATTCTCCTCCCAGCTCAGCCTTCAACTGCTGTATAGTCTGGGGAAGCCCGTTCCTGGGGCCTCAGGATGTGTACCTTCTACACCTAAGGGGATGTGATGGCCCAACTGACCCTGCTGGTTCTGATCTGTTGGCCACATAGGACTGGCCGGAGACCGACCGGCTGCTGGGCAGCGCCAACGTGGCGCCCGAGGCTTTGCAGCGCTTTGCTCGGGCAGCTGCCGACTTCGCCACCCACGGCAAGCTTGGGAAGCTGGAGTTTGCCCAGGATGCCCACGGGCGGCCCGACGTCTCTGCCTTTGACTTCACAAGCATGATGCGGGCAGAGAGCTCTGCTCGGGTACAGGAGAAGCATGGCGCCCGCCTGCTGCTGGGGCTGGTTGGGGACTGCCTGGTGGAGGTGAGGGGTCAGTGTTCACTGATTGGGGAGGGGCTCTCCGGACCCCTTGTGAGGAGGCACAGGGGTTCCCTGGCTGGGGGAGGAAGCAGCCTCGTGGGAAGGAGGGGGTATAAAAAGGTCTGCTTCCTGTAAGGAGGAGCAGAAGGTGGCTTGGTGTGTCAGGGCTCCCTCTGCTATGGCCCTGCAGTCATCTGGGCGTGGACACCCTTGTTGGACTCTCCCTGAACTGTTTCCTATCCTTCTGCCCCTACAGCCCTTCTGGCCCCTGGGCACTGGAGTGGCCCGGGGCTTTTTGGCAGCCTTTGACGCCGCCTGGATGGTGAAGCGCTGGGCAGAGGGCGCTGGGCCCCTAGAGGTGTTGGCAGAGAGGTGAGGCCTGAATTGGGGAGTTGGGGGGCGGGGTGGGGGCAGGGTTGGGTATAGGACAAGAGTCAGGAGTAGGGTCGGGGATGCTGGTTGAGTAGATGGGGGCGTAGAGAAAAGAGAACGAAGGAAAGGCCTGGCACTTCTGGAGGGGTGGGTGCTGATGGTGCCCTCCCACTTGTGCCCGATCCCGCCCTCATCTCCCCAGAGAGAGCTTGTACCAGCTCCTGTCACAGACATCCCCAGAAAACATGCACCGCAATGTGGCCCAGTATGGGCTGGACCCAGCCTCCCGCTATCCCAACCTGAACCTCCGGGCCGTGACCCCCAGTCAGGTCAGAACCCCTGGCACCACCCACCAAGACTTCCTGGGTCAGCTCCTGCACCCCAGGTCAGGCCTTCCCTCCTGTGGTCTGCCCAGTCCCTGCCCTGCGGGTGAGTCCCACCCAGGCAGCCCCTCCCCCATGGACTGGGGAGGGCGGCGGGGGTGTGTGTGGTCCGCCTGCCTGGAGACCTGAAAGGGGCTGCCTTAGGTACGAGACCTGTATGATGTGGAGGCCAAGGAGCCTGTGCAGAGAATGAGTGACAAGACAGACTCAAGAAAGCCGGCCACTGGTGAGCAGGCCTTCCTCCGGGGCCATGTCCAAAATATTTACCAAGCAGTGAGGCACGAGCACCAATGATCAGAACAGTGGTAGACGCTGGTGGCAGGGAGCAGGGTGCTGGAGCACTGCTGGGTGGTGGAGATGTTTGGGGCCTCCTGGAGAGTTCAGGGCAGTGGGGTGCTCAGCAGCAGCCATTTGCCAACTTGTGTGGAGTATTTCAGCACTCTAACAGCCGCTGTAACGCAGCAGCTGGATGGCAGCGGAGCTGCACTGTTCTCAGCTGTCTGCCCCTTCCCGCCTTGCAGACCCCAAACCTGCCTCTCCTTTTAATCTCTGGGCCTCCCTTGCCCCTCAGCTCATAGCCTGCTGCCCTCTCTGTGGCCAGCAGTGGTTTCACTCTATTCATTCCCCTACTTTATTGCCAGAAAGATTTTTTCAAATGAGAAAACTGGGATGAAGGAGGTGCTGCTGACAGTGAGTGTTAGGCTGGTGCCCAGTAGGCGTGGGTCCCTGCTTCCCCCTCCCATATAGACCCCGCACCCAGCAGCTGGGCTCTCTCTGCGGGCCCTGGTGCCTTCAGTACAGCGTGGCTTCCTCTCCTAGGGTCGGTGGCCACCCAGGAGGAGCTGCTACACTGGTGCCAGGAGCAGACGGCTGGGTACCCAGGGGTCCACGTCACCGACCTGTCTTCCTCCTGGGCGGATGGGCTGGCTCTGTGTGCCCTCGTGCACCGGCTGCGGCCCGGCCTGCTGTGAGTCAGGCATTGGGCTTGGGGGTCCCTGATAGCTCCTCCCTCTCTAGGCAGTGTGGAATGGTGGGCGATCACTGTGTAGGAGTTAGCACACCCAGCTGCGTCCCAGGCCACCCCTTGCTAATAATCCTGCTCTAGTCACTTTGCTTCCCTAGAGATAGATTTCCTGCCTGACTCTGCCTGCCCATGAGAATCAAATGCATTCAATACGGAGAGCTTTGTGAGTGGTAGAAGCCCCCCAAGGCCAGATGCTGTTGTCATGGGAGGGGTGGGGGGTAGGTAGCACAGAGAATAAAAACCCTTTATGCCCTCTCCTCCCTTTCCCAGTGTCCCTCCCCTACTGCTCTCTCCCCCTTCCATGGGGCAAGTTCTGGTCTCCCACTGGCCTTTCTCCCTGACGCCCCACAGGGAACCCTCAGAGCTGCAGGGAGTCGGGGCTCTGGAAGCGACTTCTTGGGCGCTGAAGATGGCAGAGCATGAGCTGGGCATCACGCCCGTGTTGTCCGCACAGGCAATGGTGGCAGGGAATGACCCACTGGGCCTCATTGCCTACCTCAGCCACTTCCATAGTGCCTTCAAGAGCACACCTCACAACCCAGGTGACCCGGAGGTGGGGAGGACGGGGTGGAGTGAAGAGGGAGAGAGAGAGAGAGAGAGAGAGAGAGAGAGAGAGAGAGAGTGTGTGTGTGTGTGTGTGTGTGTGTGTGAAGAGGGAGTGTGTGTGTGTGTGTGTGAGTGTGAGTGAGCGTGCCCTCTACGGGACAGCCTGGGAGAGGTATCCTCTATCCTTCTGGGCTGGCACATAGCTGTCTGTTCTGGGGGGTACTGTATCGGCCCCCTATCTACCCTGATTTTCCCCAGCAGGCCCAGTCAGCCAAGGCTCCCCAGGCACTGCCAGCGCTGTGCTGTTCCTTGGCAAACTGCAGAGAACCCTGCAACGGACCCGGGCCCAGGTGGGGAGTTTGGGTGGGGTTGGCCTGGGCAGTGGGTTCCTTGTGGGGATCCCTGGGGTGATGAGGATGTTCAGAATGGGGGAAGGGGAGAACTGGGGGCTCAGAACGTAGGACTTCTTGCAGGGAAATGGGGAGGATGCTGGTGGCAAGAAGCCTCGTGTGGAGGTAAATGCACGCAGGGGCCGGACAGTCCCTTCCCTGAGGTACTCTTTCCCATATCCTGTCCCCCCAGGCCTTGCTCGCCACCCCAGCTCCTTGTAACCTCCCCCCGCACCATCCAGTCTCGCTTCCTAGTCTCACTCCCTATCCCTTCCAGTCCTTTCTATTCATCTGTACACATGGACTCCCCAGCTGATCCTGCCCCTCTGCCTCTGGGCCTGAGCACTTACCTTTTTAGGTAGAGGCTGAGACCCCAAGTACTGAGGAGCCACCTGTCTCAGAGCCTGATGTACCGGTGACACCCCCATCCCAATACCAGGAGGTGAGAACAGGGGCCCTGTCTGCAGGCAGAGGCCTTGGAAGGGCAGGGAGGGGAAGGGAAAAACTTGGCAGCTGCCTCGGACTCCAGCTGACCTGCGGCCTGGGGGTTGGTGCAGGCCAGTGCCGAGGATCTGTGTGCACTGTGTGGGGAACACCTCTATATCCTGGAACGCCTCTGTGCCAATGGCCGTTTCTTCCACCGGAGCTGCTTCCGTTGCCATATCTGTGAGGCCACATTATGGCCAAGTGGCTACGGGCAGCACCCAGGAGATGGTGAGTGGGCCTGGGAGGCATTCAGAGGGACTCTGGGTCTGGCCCTGCTTGGGGGGGCCAGGAGCTTGAAGGTGGAGGGGAACCGGGGTGCTGGGCATGAGGTAGAAGCAGGCTGAAGATGACACTTTCTTCTCCTGAGCTCCGTCTCCTCTGTCCCCTCCAAAGCCCCAAATGCGGGGTTCTGAGAAGCCAGGAGGCTGGTAGAAATTTATCAGCCAATGCAGAGGCCTGTCACCCCCACCTTCCCTGATAAACCGAACATCTGTTCACCGGGCTGCCTGCATCTGATGGCTCCTCCCCTCTCCCGCCTTCCCAGGACATTTTTACTGCCTCCAGCACCTGCCCCAGCCAGGCCACAAAGAGGATAGCAGCGACAGAGGCCCTGAGAGTCAGGTAAAAGCTGTGGAAGTGTGGGATGGAGGGTGGGAAGGAGGAAAGGGCTCTCTAAGCCCGAGACTTTGCTGGGGGTAACTGAATGTTCTCCACTAGCGTAAACTGCATGATGGCAGGGATCTCTGTACCGTCTTACTTGTTGATGAATCCCAAGTATCTAGAACACTGCCTCACACTGTTCGGTAGACGGCATAAATGAATGAACGCCAGGGCCCACATCTGTCTCAAGGGGCTGCCTCAACCCACCCTGGCCAGGTCACTGACCAGAGCATATGGTGGCTCTTCTAGGACCTTCCGACACACAGTGAGAATAACATGCCATCACGCCCCTCGATTCCCGGGGCCCCCCAGGAGGGGACCACTCCTGTCCCAAGCCAGCCCACCCGTCAGCTGATCCGCCTCTCCAGCCCAGAACGCCAGCGGTTATCCTCCCTTCATCTCATCCCTGACCCGGAAATGGAGGCTCCACCCAAGCCGCCCCGAAGCTGCTCCGTCTTGGCCCGCCAGGCCCTAGAGGGAAGCTTTGTGGGCTGGGGAATGCCAGTCCAGAGCCCTCAAGGTAGCTGCTGGCCCAGGGTGGGGATGGGAGGGTGGTATTCGGATTCTTGGACGGGGATGTGGGGAATGGGGAGGGAGGTCCTGCGGATCTCAGCCCATATCCACTTCTCTGCTCAGTTCTTGTGGCCGTGGAGAAGGAGGAAGAAGAGAGTCCCTGCTCCAGTGACGAGGAAGCAGAGGAAGACGTGCCATTGGACTCAGACACAGAACAGGTGAGTGGGAGGAACCTGGCCACCTATTCTGCCCAAGCCAGCACACATCCACTAAATATACCCTGGCCCCTGCCCGGGAGAAACCCACAGCACCCATCCTCTTGAGCCCAAATGACTCTGAATGTCTTCTCACCCAGGCTGACTCTTTCATGTCTCTAGGCCTCCACCTTTTCTATCAGAACTTATCCCACTTCCAGCCCAGGGTCTTTCTGGTCCCTTTCAAATGCAGCTTTCCCAACCCCTATCCACCTGACCCTGTCATAGGTTCTGTGGAACTTGGCTAAGAACTCTGGCACCATGAACAGTTACCCAACGTGGCGTCGGACTCTGCTGCGCCGTGCTAAGGAGGAGGAGATGAAGCGGTTCTGCAAGGCTCAGGTGCGGCCTAGGGGTTCCCGGAGGTTCTAACGGGATCAGGGTTCTGAGACTGGGGATCAGAGCTCCTCCGGGACTCTGTTCTTGAGCAATCTGCAGACTCCTGGGCCTACTGTCTTGTACTCAGGCCATCCAACGGCGACAAAATGAGATCGAGGCTGCCCTGAGGGAGCTGGAGGCCAAGGGCACGGAGCTGGAGCTGGCTTTGAGGAGCCGGAGCAGTGAGTGAAGACAGGGAGGATAAATGAGCCTAGGACACCTCTGCCTCCTGGCCCTGTGTTCCACCCCCAGCGACCCCCAGACTACCAGGCTGTGGCCCACAGCAGGTTCTGTTCCTCATGCCGTGATTCCTGTGACCCTCCTTAGAAGCCTGACTGGCCCCTCTTCTTCCTTCTTGTCAGGTTCCCCCGAACAGCAAAAGGCACTATGGCTAGAACAGTTGCTACAGCTTGTTCAGAAGAAAAATAGCCTGGTGGCCGAGGAGGCTGAGCTCATGATCACGTAAGGGGTGTCGGAGTTGGGGCGTGGGGGGCAATGGCGTGTGAGCCAGGCCCCACAGCCAGGTCTTTGGTCACCCTAGACACCTGTGCCTTTTCTATCCCTGCCCCCCACAGGGTGCAGGAGCTGAATTTGGAGGAGAAACAGTGGCAGCTGGACCAAGAACTGCGAACCTACATGAACCGGGAAGGTAGGTGGGATGTGGGGAGAGGCTGGTATTTGCACAAGCCTCGTGATCTCAGATACTGCCCAGGCAACAGTCCTCTAGTCTGAGTACCTCTGAGGCTGAACTGCCTTTTGAATTGCTTCTTGAACTGCAGGAAGCCAGAGGATGGGCTCCAGGCCCACATTCTGCGCCTTCAGTTCAATCACAGCTGCACAACTGGGCTTTTACACAAGATTCCTTTAAAAGTGGTGCTGCTGCTAAACAATGCTAGAGAACCATTAGTGTTGATAAACCAAATTCAGAGTGGGAAGCAGCTGGGGTTGTAGAAGTCACACAGGCCGGGATTAGGTTGTGCCTCTCCTGCCGTCCTCCCCGTTCTCTGTTCTCTAAGTAAGTCTCACCCCTCCCTTCAGAAACCCTGAAGACAGCTGCTGACCGGCAGGCTGAGGACCAGGTCCTGAGGAAGCTAGTGGACGTGGTGAACCAGCGAGATGCCCTCATCCGCTTCCAGGAGGAGCGCAGGCTCAGTGAGCTGGCCTCGGGGCCAGGGCCCCAGGGCTAGAAGAGGGTAGGCTGCCTGTCTTCTTCTCTGCAAGGAAGACTGCCTCACCCCAGGTCAGTGCCACCCTGTTCATCAGGGCTGCCTGGGAGAGGCCTCACTGTTTACAATAAAAAAGGCTTCTGCCGTAAACAGGACTTTGGCTGCCTACGGGGGGAGGTGGGGGAGTGTGCAGGGAGGGCAGCTGTGTAGGAGCCTGAAGGTCTACACTGTGACAATCACACCGACCCTTGGCCCCAATCACTGCCTCTACAAGGAAAAAGGCAGTGCCACCAAAGTGTCAAGCTTTATTGTTCCTCTGCTCTGTCTACTTCCTGCTGCCCCAGGAGCCCGGCTGGCTGGGACTCTGAGCCCAGGTCCTGGGCCTCCCTTGCCCTTCCCAGCACATGCTGGAGCTCAGCTCGGGCCCGACACAAGCCCTTGGCCTCCTGCACGTGGAAGAGATAGAATGCACCCGCCCCCAGCACCAGTCCTACACTGGGGGTCCAGAGCAGTACAGCAACTTCCCTGATCTCTCCTCCAGCTGCCAGGGCACACAGCAACGCCAGGAGAAGAAGCCCTAGACCAATCACGTAGCCAGCGATGGTGGCCCACCAGCGACCTTGAGCCATGCCCTGGTCCAGTTCTGTCCAGGCCTCCCGTAGCACACTGATCAGCGGAGACCTCTCTGCTGGTCCTAGAACAAAGCGGGACAGTGGGGAGGGAGAGTGAGGGTCTGAGGGAGGGATGGGGCTGCCCCATGGGGAAGGGCCAAGGAAAAGGATGGGGCTGACTCACCATGGGTAGGGCTGGGGTTGTGCTGGGGGGGGCTGTGTCTCACACACAGAGTAGCCATCAGCGCCTCATGATCGGAGAGGGGGCTGCCGCCGTGAGGCTCGTGGCCTGTAGTAGTTCTGAGAGTCTTACAGAAGATGTATAGCCCAGACACCGCCTAGAAAAAGAGCCAGAGAGAAATTTCTGAGAGCGCCTTTCCCAGAGAACCAGTTCCTGGCTATCCCATTCTCCAGCCGCCACTGATAAAGACTAGACTAGTTGGACAAAGAATCAGCATAGGCTGATATGCCATGAAGAGAGACAGAGACTGAAGGCACATTGCAGGGAGACGTCTGACCTTATAAAGCACGTAGTCAATACGGATACCCAAGGGGAACTGCTCTAGCTCCTGCCGGTTGACGTAGCAGTTCTGCGGTACCATCGTACAGCCTTCTTCAGGGCCCTAGGTGAAGAGTGGGCTTGAATGAGGATGCAGGGGGAAGGAGGAGGGAGAGAGGCTGAGGATGTAGGTGGGGAAATAATCAGGCAGGTCCTCACCTTGAAGTCCCGAGTCTCCAGATAGGCATCCTGCAGTCCCGTCCACTCCTTCAGCAGGCGGAAGCCCAGGTCCTTTGGGTGCAAGTTGAGGTCCCCACACAATAGAACCACATCAGCTTTCTTGGACGTGTGGCTGGGGGAACCAAGATGGTAAGGCAGGAACTCTTCCCTCACCAGCTCTGCCCTAAAAGTGGGGCCTTAGCCACCCTCAGTTCCTGGACCCCATCCCACTTCCCCTGTCAAGCCCAGGCTCACACACTGGATGAACTGGGCCAGTTCCCAAGCTTGGGCCACACGATGTGCTAGGTAGATGTCCTTCTGTCTATTGTACTCGGCATGGAGCTGAACAAGATAGAGGAGATAATTGCAGATGAGACTGAGGGTCCCAAGGGCAGGAGTAAATCAAGCTTGCATCTGTCACTTGGCACGCTGCTTGGTAAAATATGTGTGAACCTTGCCTACTGGCCTTGGGAGATCCTGCTGCCACGCCTCACCCCAAGGCAGCCTGGCTAAAGGAGGAGTCCCATCTTCTCCCTCCCAGGACCAGGACGCCTGTCCCAGCCTTAAGCACTGCCGCCCTCACTCACATGGGTCACGTAGGCGTTGAGCACCAATCCACCCAGACGGAGCACCAGCAGCCCCACGGCCTTCCCACAGAACCAGTCACCGTGGTGGATCTGTAGGCAGGAGGGGGCGGGAACTCAGGGCACTGCTACCCTCTTTCTGCCCATCCCCTGCAGCCCTAGGAAGGCCACCTCCTTTACCATGTGTCACAGGGCGGCGGGGTGGGGAAGGGACGTGGAAGAGGTCAGAGGTCAGGCTCACCATGTAGGGGTAGCCATTGAGGGTGAAGACGTGCTGGGTGAATTCCTGGATTGGGTGTTTGGAGAAGACACAGAGACCACTGCCAATGATGCCACTGAAAAGCCAAGTCCTAGTCAAGAGCCACAAAAGCAAGGAGAGAAATACCCAGCCCCCTCCCCCTCCCTCGTCTCCCAGCTCTTATCAGCTACTGTTTCTCCCTCTGCTGCTGTTACCACCCCAGATCAAAGCTCAAAGAGACGGCATTTACGTGGGCGAACAGGATGGCCTGATGATAAATCTGATGAGCTGAAGAGCTAGGTCTTCCTCATTCCACCTTCTCCTGCTCCCACACTCAGAAGAGAGGGCGCTGGGGCAGAGGGAGGCGGGCGCAGGAAGCACGGGGAAGGGCTGGCTGGCAGGGCCCAGGGCCTCCAGCTCTGAGATCAGGCTTCGGGGCCAGTGGGCTTCTCACCTCCTGAAGTAGTGTGCTGCTGGGTAGGCGGGGAGCAGCTTCTGCCTCAGGTACTGGAAGTCCTGCTCGCTCCACACCTGAGGGGAGGGGTGACGATACCTGCCGGTCCTTCCCCCAGGGCGGGAGCCCCCGCCCGCGCCCCAGCCGCCCCCACTCCCGCCGGGCTTCCACACCAGCTCCGCGCGGCCCCACCTCCTCCAGGAGAGCTAGGTCGAAGCTCTCCCTGTTCAGAAAGTCTCCCAGGCGCTTAACGCGGTCGGCCCGGTGCTTGCTCAGGTAGGGAATGCCCCTGAGAACGAAAAGCGCAGGGGAGGTGACGGCTGGGGCCAGGCGCGGGCCCCGGAGGTAGGGGTTGCCCCGCACCCCGAGGGTGTAGGGCAGGGGAGCGCCGTGGGCTGGCTGTGCGAAAGGCCTCCTGCCTCTGGCGAGGGGGACGGCGGCCCCAGACCCGGGTCGGCGGGCGCACTCACCAGCAGTTGAGGTTAAAGACCTTCAGTCGCAGGGAGAAGTTGGGCTTCATGGCAAGGACGCTCGGCGGCGCGGGACGGCTCGGCCTCCGCAGCGACGGTCGCGTTCGGGACAGCGGCGGGCGGGCGGCCTTCCCCGCGGGGAACCGCGCACAGGTGCTCGCCCTACTCCCGCTCTCCCGGGAAGGCCGCGGCCCCGAAGTGCCCGCGCCCGGGGACTGACTCCCGCGTTACCCGGGCAACCGGCCGGCTGGCCCCAACCTGGCTGCGCGGCAACCCGGAAAGGCGATCTGCGGTGAAATCAGGCGCTGACTGGAGGCGACTACCGCGCTGGAGGACCCTGGGCTTGGGGTCCCAGGGGAGGTCCGTGGATGAGGGGGGCGGCGGCGGCGAACCACGCTGACGCACGCTAGGCGTGGGGTCCCTGTTCCTTTTCTCCGAAGCTCGTCGCTGGTGGCGGCCGCCCGCGCGCCCTCTCCAGCCTCTCGAACGCCTCAACAGCAACAGGCACAAAGTTGAGGAAAGGCCGGACCTTCGCCGACCGCCCCGCCCCCGGCCCCCTCCTTCCGGCGAGCGGCGGGGGCGGGGCCGCGCGGTTGCCCTGGCGACGCGCTATGTTTGTGAGCCGAGGAGTCCTTGCGCGCAGCCATGGCGAGCAGCTCGCAGACGCCGCCCGAGCAGCCGCTGCAGGTGAAGGTGGTGGGGCTCTTCAAAAGCTCCAGCTTTCAAATTGCGAAGAGCGCCGCTGAGGTAACCGCGAAGAAACCACAAGGGCGGGAAGGCCCGTCCCGCTTCCGAGTCGTGCGCCTCCTGGTGGCGGGGGTCGAGGTTCAGGGAGGGGATGTCCCGGCCGGGGTGGGCTGTCTCTGGATGGATATCTGCGTGCAGAGGGCGAGGGCCGGTCCAGGCGGGAGTTACACTTCGAGAAGGGCTACCTTTAAAGAGAGATCCGAGCGAAGGAATCGTTCAGAACCTTTTTGGGAATAACACACATTTTATCCCACGTTAATTTTTTTTTTTTTTTGCGGCACGCGGGCCTTCCTACGTTAATTTTTAACTGAAATTATAGATTTTAAAACTTTGTGAAAAAAATGTTACCATATAACTAGCTGATTTTTTTACAAACTCCTTTCCCAAGTGATTTTTGAAAACTATTCATTCGGGGAGGGTTTTTGTTGTTTTTCTTTAAAGTTTCTATAGCAGTCACTGCATTCCAGTTGAATTAGGTGCTTATGGGATTTCTTAACAAATGACCCACAAGTGCTTTAGAGACTACAGACATTTCTTTGTAAACATGCAGAACAATGTAAAATGAAAAACACTTTAAGTAACTGGAAGAATTAGGCCAGGTCAGTAATGCCGCAGCATTCCTACAACCCGAATGCAGGAGAAATGTAGAAGTGTATAAAATGTTGAAATGTAAAATTCAGCACTTCTTTGGGGTTTGGCCAAGCTTCTCTCCTTCAAAACCCCAATAGGCTCCAGGACAATGCCTTATTCATGTCTGTACCTCCCAAAGTACCCAGCTGGATACTTGAAACAAAATGTTCCCAAATAGAATTAATCTTAAGAAATTCCTAACTTCTTACCTGCTCCAAGTCCACAGAGTTACAGTGTGAATTTAAATCAAGTCAGGAAATAGTGACTAATTTGTGAAATAGGTAAAGTTTACATTAAGATGAAGAGAACAAGTGATAAGAAGTCTGTGAAAATGATACATGGATCATTAAAAGAAGTAGAAATTATGGACTGTGTTAGCTGGGCTGATAGGATCAGCAAAGTTATATGGTTCAAATTGTATTTAATAAGTGTGAGGGATTTTTTTCCTCTTGTTTTTCTTAGCTCCTTTTCTGAAGGCATATGTTTTCTCCACACTGTAGAGAAGACGTTGGCATATTTTTTTTCCTGTAAAGTCCACATATAAAATTATTAGGCCTTTGGAACCATAGGTTCTCAGTCATGACTACTCAACTGTGTCCTTGTGCAAAAGCAGCCACAGACAGTATGTAAATGAATGGTGGTTTTCCAATAAAACTTCTATTATGGACACTGAAATTGGACTTGCATATAATTTCACAGGACATGAAATGATTCTTCTTGTGATTCTTTTTCAACTGTTTAAAAATCTAAAAATTATTCTTAGTTCTCAAGTCTTACCAAAACAGGCAGTGGTCCAGCTTTGGCCTGCTGGCCACAGTTTGCCAACCCCTGTTGCAGAGGACACTAAGTCAAGCAAACAATGTCTTTATTATATTAATAATGTTAATTTTCACTTTCTTAAGTTTTGCCTACCATAGCTCTATTTGAATATGAAAATATATGAATGTAAATTCAGTTAGTTCTGTTAATAAAGGATCCTTGAATATATTTCCAACATGATCACTTGTGAGCAATCCCTGATGCCTAATTAACTGAAAGATTTAGATTTATAAGGAGTATTACATAATGTAGTCCCTTCTGGAACAAATTATGAAGAAAGCATGATTAAGTATGCTTAATTTGAAAACTATTGGGCTTATTAGTTATTCCAGATGGTCCCTCAGAAACAGCAGTCATCCTGTACGACTGCCTCAGACAGAGCACAGACGCTGGAATTGAGAAAAAGGACACATCAGCTGTTGGTTGGGTACAGCAGACTAAGAAGGAAATGGCCAGATTGCTGTTGCCCTCTTCTGCTACCCCTGGTCCCAAAGCAGGGTACACTCACATCCTGGCTTTCTCCCCCTTGGACTGTCCACCCTGGGTGAAGCACGCCAAGTCAGTGTCCCCTTAGACCACAACAGAAGTGGCCAGATGACACTTTTCCCTTGTTGGTCCATTTACTTCTCAGACTTGCTCAGAAAGGTGATGCCTAACTGTTACTGCCTCAACTGTCTTCCCTTGCTTTAGGAGGAGGCAAAGTGTAACATAACAGGAACCAAAACTTTTTTTTTTGACAGATGTTGTTAACCAGTAAGAATTTTCTCTGATTCATATAGACAAAACAAAATACATTAAGTCAATACATGCTTAATGTCTAGACCAAAACACATTTAATATTTACTTCTCTTTTTCCCAAGGGGTATAACCACAACAATATCCTTTTGGTCATTCTCCATATGTCAGTGAATTAAAGCAATAACATTTATTTTAGTTAAAAGTATCCATAGAGGGGCTTCCCTGGTGGCGCAGTGGTTGAGAGTCCGCCTGCCGATGCAGGGGACACGGGTTCGTGCCCCGGTCCGGGAAGATCCCACAAGCCGCGGAGCGGCTGGGCCCGTGAGCCATGGCCGCTGAGCCTGCGCGTCTGGAGCCTGTGCTCCGCAACGGGAGAGGCCACAGCAGTATGAGGCCCCCCAACCTCAAGAAAAAAAAAAAAAAAAAAAAGTATCCATAGATCCACTGAGGTTTAGTAAGAGTTTAATTTAGGGAAAAACTGGTCCTAAAAGAACATGGCAGGTCACAGAACTATTGGCATAAACTCACTTGTACATTTGTTTATGCAGTTGCTATGTGTGGATGGTCCACTATGTACCAAATACTGAGGCCAGTGGGAAACTAAGACATAGTCTTTGCCCTCAAGGAGCTTATTCTCTTCAGATGAGAGACCAATTAGTATGGACTGGGGAGGGACTTACTGGAGGTAAGCATAGGGGCCTCTGGAAGCTGGCGAGGGGTATCTAAGCCAGACTGTGGCTTGGGTGTATGTTGCATAAAACTTCCTGAAGACCCCATAAAAACTGGGGGCAATGATTTCTACTTTAAAAGAGAACTTACTCTAAAATAATTATTCTATTTTGAAACCTAGAGTCTGAAGAGTAATTATCCATCCAAATTTGAAGACCCTATAATAGTTCCTGTTCAAGAATTTGCATGGGATCAATATCTACAGGAGAAAAAAAGGGTAAAGGATATTTGGGGTGTGGGAAATGAGCCAAGTTTTGCCTGATTTATTTACATATGCATTGGTTTGGAAAAACTGAAGCAGTAATTTTGATACAACTAGATTTTATTTCTCTAAATTACGTACTTTTCCTAAATTATTTCAGTCATTTTACCCAGCTGATTTTAAGAAAGAGTCAAACATTTACAGAATTTTCTTTTGGAAAGCATGTGATAAAGGTAAGTTTTAAACTCTCAGTGCTGCTATTTACTCCTGCCGATGGCTACCCCTCTTTCCTGGCATATCACTTACTCATACTTCCTGTGACACCCGGGCACTCAGGTTACTGTGGCCTGGCACTCTTTTTGGCCCTAACTCTGGAAGGTTTCAGTGGTGTCCAGCACAGATATAGCAGGGGAGCATGTAGGGTTGCCTAGGGGAGCTCTGATGGTAGGCGCCAACTTCCCACAGGGTAGCCGTGTCCTAATGGACGCTTCCTTCTCTGCATTCTCCCCCCTAACAGTACCCTTGGAGAACTCCAGACCCTAAGGCTGGCAGAGCTTATCCAGGGATGGCAGATTGGTTTCCTCTTGGGTGCCATCCCTGATTAACTGGTAGTGCTGCCTGGAACATGTGGCATCCTGGCTCAGATACAGCTCACGTTGGGGGGCAGACTAGAATGGGTACGCCTCCTGCTTGTCACCCTTGGCCTAGTCCTGTGGAGAGTCCCAGTCCTGGCTTCCCTGCCCAACCGCATCTCTCAGTGGCTGAGGAGATCCCATTTCCCCTGACCAGAGCAGTTTTGATTGTCCTGTGCTAGATTGCACAAAGATGTCCTGTGATTTACCATGCAGATAGTGCTGCTTTACTTCACTCTCTGCTCAGTCACATGAACGGTGCAAGACTGAGTCAGGAATACCGTATGTTAAGTCTCATACCATTTTCACAGCCACAGTACATTTTCATTATATAATTCAAACAGAACCATAACAAACACTTACCTATGGTGCTTATTATATGCCAGGCACTATTCTAATGACTTCTATAAATATTAACTCTAATCATTACAACAACTAGGGTGACCAGTGGTCCTGGTTTGCCTGGATCTGAGGGGTTTGCTGGAATGCACGAATTTCAATGCTAAAGCTGGGACGGTCCTTGGCAAATTCAGACAGTTGGGCACCCTAACGTAAAACAATATGTTTTTCTTCATTTTTATCATCAAACTTCCTAAACTGCCTATCGTATCGTGCTCTCCACCTACAGGAGAGCCATGATTTCATGCTTCGTGGTTTGCACCCACTCCTCTTCCATATTCCCACCATACTCTGAAACACTGGTGTGGATTCCATTCTGCAGTTTCTGACCCTTGTCAGCCTGAGTTGCTAACCTTGAGCTGTTTTGTGTTCTCTTCCTTCTGCTTTTCTCATGGGGCCTGAATGAGGCTTCCTAGGTCATCAATGCTGCTTCTTCCCACATATCCTTAACTCCTGTCTTTCTTTTCTTCCTTCCCCCTCCTTCATCTCCTGGATACTTGCCACCTTAACCTCTTCTTCCTCTTCAGGCCAGCTTTTTGTTCTCCTTTCACATAAGCATTGTCTTATGTTATACATAGTGCTTCTTAGCACATTTGAGGTTAGTTTGCACTGGCCTCAGTGCCTCAGTATAATGTAATGCCAACCATGAGGGATGGCTTCAGAGCCTTTGGGAAGGCCCTTTTTCCCCCTCCAAAAAAAGGCAACATCATACATCTTAGTGCTGGAAAGCCCTGGAAAACATCGGGTCCAGCCTGCTATCTTAAGGCAGGCGATGAGGGCTCCTCATGTATAGAAGACACCCAGACAAGGCACGTAATTTTCAGCCTCCGAATAAAGTGTACCTGCTACTGCATTTCTCCTACCAGGCTAGCTAAAATATCCACAATTAAACTTTCCCTCCCCTTTTTAAAGTTTTGTGTCCTGTAAAATGTGAGAACCCTGATGAGTTTCAACATTCCAGGGAGTACTGACCCATAGGCTCAGCGATTGACAGTTCAGCATGAACAAGTTTAGGAAGTGAGGAATCTGAAGCGAG